TGGGCTTTAATAAAGAATATTTGGATGGCTGGGGATCCATGTAAAAAGATCTCTAAATACCACATCATATAAAAAAATCTCTAAAGCAGAATCCCAAATGTGAAAGATAAAGCAAAGCTTCAAATGACAGACAGTACAGGAAAAATTTTCGTGACCACAGTTAAAGATTCTTTACCTAGCACAAAAGATACTGTAAGAAAAATAATTTGAATAATTTTAAGTTAGAAACTTCTATCTATCAAACAGCACAAATAAGACAACAGAAAATAGTATTCCACATAGCAAGGAACATGATCTTTGTGTAAGATATCAATATGACAAAGAATTTATATCAAAACAACTTAAGCCACAAAAAAACAGAAAAGCTACAAAAGGCCTTATGTAATCGGTACTTCAGACACACATACAAGATCACCCACAGGGCCAGTGAACATAATTCCAAAAAGCTCAATCTGTTACCCATCAAGGAAATGCCCAAATTCCAACTCTAAAACTCGGCATGTCACTGACAACTTCTGGAAAGAGTAAATGCAAAACAAACACCCATACAGGTCTGCAGAAGGACTATGCAATTCAAGGAGTACTGCTCAGTAAAACATTACAGTATTCTGTTTTTAATGTAAAGATATACATACCCTATGACTTGCTGATTCCATTCGCGCATATATATACATATATATATATATATATATATATATATATATATATGTATATGTATAATCTCAATCACTATACACATATGGACAATATTGACAGTTTATGTACAGTCCCAATTAAAAACAACTTGAATGTCCACCAACAATTATGTTTATGAAAATAGTATTTACTCAATTCAATGACCACTGAAACAGAATCAGTTAATGTCCTACTTAGTTTTTTGTCAACTTGACACAAACTAGAGTCACTTGGGGAAAGAAACTCTCAATTAAGAAAACTGCCCCACAAGATTGGCCTGTAGGGGCATTTTCTTGATCAATGATTGACATGGCAGGGTCCAGATCACAGCAGGTGGTGCTACTCCTGGGCAAGTGGTCCTAAGTTGTATTAACAAAAAACCAAAAAACCAATCTGAGAAAACCATGAGGAGTAAGCCACTAAGAGCACTCCTCCATAGCCTCTGCCTCACTTCCGCCATGACTTCCCTCAGTGCTGGAAGGCAACATGACACTTGCTAGCTGAATAAACCTTCTCCTCCCCTAGTTGCTTTAGTCATCGTGTTCTTTATCACAGCACAGAAACTAATTGAGACAGTCAACTAGTCATGTATATCCATACAGGCTTAACACTGAGCTACAGAAAGCAGGGCTGATTAAATTCTGTTCAAGCACGTTCATATAAAGCTCAAAACTGGAGAGCTATAAATACTTTAGCAGCATCATATTCAAGAGAGGGAAGTTATAAGCATAAATATCAGGATGTTAGCAAGCAGGCAAGTAAAAAAGAAATCTGAAAGAGTATAGGCAGGTAGCTTCTGGAATCCCAGCAATGCTTTGCTGTGTAATTAAGAAAGTTATGTACATGCAATTCTAAAGTATAACCTTAACTGATACAATCTTCCATGTTTTATTTCACATAAAATTGCTAAAATTCAACTCATTCAAATTCCAACTGAAATAAACTAATAAAGAAGTTCCAAAATTTGCCAGAAAGTCTATTTCAAAGATAAATCAAGTAAAATATTAAACAATAATCCAAATAATGGTACAGATTTGAATGTATATACAACTGCCTTTACCTGGATCTCAAATTTCTACCATTCTAACTATGAAGAAAAACTAAAACATTCATCTAAATAGTTAATGCTATTGATAGGTAGACTCTTAACTTAGTCAATAAAGAGTCTCTCCTCTTAGTAGTCATATCTTCGTGGAATTCCCTACAGGGATGTGGCTTTTTTAAACAAAGTAATGGCTAAAGCGTTAATGTAAAAAAATAAGGTGTCAGACCTGTGTGATGGCTCAAGAGATAAAGGTACAGACATCAAGTCTGATGACCTGAGCTTACCTTTGGGACACACATGGTAGCACCCAACATAGTTTCTAAAGTTGCCTTCTGACCTACATATGACACCCCTTCCTAACCCAACCCGACAAAGTAAATTAAAATATATTAGTTTTTTAGACTTAAATAAATTAGCTCCTTGGTTACTTGTAATAATTAAAACTAAAATAACCAAGCTCAAGGACACACAAAAAAACACACTAACAAATATTTATTTATGGCTCACTATAGGCTCCAATATCCAGAAATACTTTAAATATAGTTTTTTAAACTAAACTATCTATGCAAAATATATAGCACAAGAGGAAATCAGTCCAAAGGCTATTAAGACTCAATTTAAGTCAAGCTAAAAGACCCCCAGTACAATCCCCAAGAAGTTTAATGTCAAAAACAGAAAGCAGTACACAGTGCTATATGACTCAATGAAGTATCACAGGAAGGTTACTACAAAATATCGGCTACCAGAAAAAAGACCTATCTGAAACTCAAGGAAGAGTTACTGTCGGGAGACAATTCTCCTTTCAACTCATCACTCCAAGCTTTATACTTCAAGACAGTTTTTGTTCAAAATTATTTGTACACAAATATTCATAGATTAAATAGAACTGCTCCAAGAAGAGGACAGACTCATTTTCTGACCAATACAATAAAAACAAAAACTGTCTTTCTACCCAACAAAGACTAGCCAGATTTAGACCTCCTGAGCTTAAGATCCCTTACTGTAACACAAATCCAGTGGATGTTTCAAACTAAGCCAACCCACTTGTACACTGCCCTGTGAGGGGTTGGAGAGTTAGGGCAGATTCAGGCAATGAGGAAGCTGACTGAGCTAGACATTTCATGGGAAATGAAGTCTTTAGTCTCAGCCCACTAGACTCAGGTCTTTGGCCAGAATCAATAAAACATGGTGGAGCTAAAAGTGAGGTAGAATTATCATCCCTTTCTGTTTTTTATCGCTATAAAAACTTTTAACTGTTAGTACTTAAAAGGACACTGAAAAAAAAAACTCAGTAACTAATAAAAACTTCACATATTTCCATATATAGAAAATTACCAGCCATTTCACTTAACTCCCATATATCCTAATATAGGTGGGTTATTCATTTTATTGATGCATCTATTCATTTATTATCAAGGACTTTACAATGAACCAAATAACATTTACAGTAAACTATAAGTAAGTCTAAGTCAAAAAGAAACACGTAAAATGACTGCAATAAAATCTCATGCATTCTGTTTAACAAGTAAGGTAGGTAAGAAATATGAAATTTTATCTACTTTATAAAGAATTTTCCACAGGAAGCAGAGGGCTCACAGTGTACACACTGCATTTAAAAAAGAAAATCCATGAATGATATATTTTCAGTCTTGTTATTCCATATTATCCAAGGACAAAGGGCCTCTACATCATCTGGGAATTGCTAGAAATGCATACATTCGGGGTCCAAAGACTCCCTTAAAGAAAAACAAACAAACAACAAAAAACAACAAAACCAACTGCATTTTAACTAGATCCTAAGGTGACTCCATGAACTCAGTCAATAGCTTAAGTACTATGTGGGCTGGAGAGATGGCAGGAAGAACTCTTGTTCCTCCTGCAGAGGACCTGGATTCAGTTTCCAGCACCCACATGGTGGCTCACAACCATCTTTGTAAATTCAGTTCCAGTGAGACCTATTTATTCCCCTCTTCTGACCTCCTCTGGTACCAGGTGCACTTGTAGTACATTTACATATATGCAGGCAAACACTCATACATATAAAATAAAATTTGTTTTAACTTTAAAAAAGTACGACTCTATAGAATAATTTAAGTAAATAAATAACTGACCATTACCTGCTCTCCCACCAAAATCTAAATATGTAATAAAGATTGTGTTTCTGTCAATAAACATACAAAATAAAATTCCACAAAAGTTAGGATAGGCAAGTAAAGTCACAAACCATGCAAAGAGTATTTAATCATTCATACTAGCATATTCCAAATCTTAACAAGGGGGTTAGTAAGTTAAATGACCAGAAGAAAAACTGGAAATATGTAGTTTTATCACAACAAAAACATTACTCATTTTTATTTTTAACAGTCTAGAACATAGTATACAGTAGATTACATATTTTAATATTTAAATAGTCTAATTTAAAAGACAAATAAAATTTGAATAACTAAAAGCACCTTTTGGGCTGCTTCGAAAAGAGATTTGAAAAATTCAGATTTCAGTGTTACTTTCTATATGTTGCTAAGAGAGCACAGAATTCATCTTCACATATTACCTATGTGTGTGAAAGAGTTGAAGAAATGTGTGTATTAAATTAGAACACCCTGGTTATATATTAGTGAAGACAAAATTATCTCTTAGGTATCCTGCATGACTTAAGAAATTACAAATAGATTTAAACTATTCTTTTCACATGCACTTCCCCGCCATAGGAAAAGCTGCAACTCCTCAAATTTTATTTAAATTTCCTGGTTTTGAGAAAATTCATGATGGCTCTATTTCCTATTTTTATTGCTTTGAGATGAATCATTACGCTAAGCTGGCAGTCCTTGAGACTGTGATTCACAGGACCTTATATTGTATATGGTAGGCAAGCACTCCACCACTAGCCATTAAAGTAAGATCCACTGAAAACTGTATGGTATAGCTCCAAAAAATTATCTTGCAAATATTAAATTGAGATGGGCATGGTGGCATACACTAGCACTCAGGACACTAAGACAAGCAGATCTCTAAGGATCCAAGGCCAGCCTGAGCTGTAGCTGCAGGAAGCCAGGGCTTCATAGTGAGACTTACCTAAAATCCGAAACAAAATACAAAGAAAAAAAAACTACAAGAAAAGAACAAAAGAAATTAAAAGGTTTTTAAGACAATAAAGCTTAAGAAAACAACACCAAATTAAATGCTTTAAATTAAAATACTTAAACATGTTTTAACCTGAAATGCTTACATACAATAGATACAAGACATAACGGAAACTAAACATAAACATGAAATAACATACCTCTCTCTTATTTCTCCTTGCAACCTTGAGGAATTCCATAAGAATCTGTAGCTGAGCTGCATGTGATTCCTAGAATAGAAAATTTTTATTTTCCTCAACAAATACAAGTTCAAAATTTTCATTAACAACTGTATAAATGTTACTGTACTACTTCTTTATGTTTTCCCATCTGCTAGTTGCAATTTCAAAAAAAAAAAAATCAACTTACTTTCTGTAAAGAATAACAGAAGAAATTAGTGTTCTGCATTTTTTTAAAAAACAAAACAAAACAAACAAACAAACACACCCATTTATAGGTAATGGCTCTTCTCCACAAAGTCAACAAAATCAAGACAAAAATCACAATGGATCTAATATAGTTTTTAAACATGAAAATAATCTTCCTGAAAAAAATTTATTTGGTGAGATAAGCATTAATAATTGGAAAGAAATAAATGTATGCCTTTCTCACAAGATTGGTCCTCCTAACATTCACAGATGGAAGGGAGAAGACTCTCGAGCCTCTCACTGTCAGAAGAGGAATCTCTTGGAAGTAGAAGAGCTTCCCTTGAAAATTCTCTTAAGTAATCCTTATTTGGAATTGGTGAAATAGTAGTTCCGTTTATATGAAGCTATCCTCTATTTGAGGTAAACAGAAATATACTGCCCAGAAAAAGTCATGCAGCATCTACTCACATAGATATGAAAATTAATATTTTTGTATCGTTTGATGAAAACCAAACCTTTGAAAACATGCACACACAAAAATAAATAAAAAACATAAAGGAAAAATGACAAGTACCAATGAAGATTTTATTGATGAAATGAAGGTTTTATTAATATGTGATCAGTATGACCATGACATTTGGTGGATATCCCAAAATCCATATAATCAACTAAGGAATTGCAGATGAATAGAATAAATATAGTCAAGACTTAAAAACAGAATGAGAGACAATTTATAAACAAATGCAATTCTAACATCTTATAGGTTTGAAAGGGAAAATAAAGATTAACGAAACCTTCATTTATCTTATTATGCAACAGAATTATCTGAAACACTCTTAAAACGGACATTTGGTCAGGTCTAAAATTTCTGATATTACTATTTTACAAAAGAAGGCTCACTGTGAAACACTGCCTTCTGAACAAGACATAGCTGCTTCACCACAAACTCACAGCAGCAGCAGCAGTAGTTACTCGTACAAGACCTCCCAAAAGACTGAGCCAATCAGCACACACCACTCCTTTAGAGAGATACAGGTTAATGGGAGACTGCTGGCACAATAAATTTCCTTGCTCAAGTAAATACTCCTGAGCCCTGAGCTCTGTGCTCTTATTTAAATGCCGTTAATCCCTCCCAAAACACACAAAAAGACATTAAAGCAAGAGGGGATTTATTAGAAAGGTAAGGTTTGGTTGGGGGGGGGGGAGAAGAGGTAAAGAGGATATTGGACTAGAAAATGATTAAAGTATATTATACATATGTATATATGTAGAAAATTATATAATTTTTAAAAAAGACCAAAACATAACAAAAACAAAAAGGGTACTAGATTATATTTAATAAAGACCTAAATAATAAAAATGAGTTCGTGCTACAGGAGGAAGAAGTGAAATCTTATTTTCTCCTGAGGCAGCGAAGGAACTTTCAGCTAAGTAGGAAGGGAACACTGATTCTACTTGCTTCTTTATCTTAATATCTCTCTCTGTGTGTGTGTGTGTGTGTGTGTGTGTGTGTGTGTGTGTGTGTGTGTGTGT